CTCTGACCTCATCCTGTCCGAGGACCGCAAGAGTGTGCGGCGTGGGAGCAAGAAGCTGATTCTGTCCTTCTTTGACAACCCCAAGAGGTTCAGCAGTGTGCCGGTGGTGCTGGGGAGTCAGGTCTTCTTCTCAGGCCGTTCCTACTGGGAGGTGCAGGTGGGAGACAAGCCTGAGTGGGGCTTGGGGCTGTGCAGCGAGTCGGCCAGCCGGAAAGGCAATGTCCTCTTCTCCCCCAAAAATGGCTACTGGGTGCTGCGGCTGCAAAATGGGGGCAACTATGAAGCCCTCACCTCACCTGCCTCCCCTCTGACCCTGAGCGTGAGACCCCGGCGCATTGGGATCTTCCTGGACTACGAGGCAGGAGAAATCTCCTTTTACAATGTGAGCGACCACTCTCACATTTACACCTTCACCGACAAGTTTCTGGGGAACCTCCATCCTCTCTTCTTCCTGGGTGCCTTTTTGGGGGGCAGAAATGCAGAGCCCTTGGTGATCTCCTGGGTCAGGGACACGCAGGGGTCTGGGTGCATCATCCTGTGACAGCGGCTGCCCTGACTTCTCACGGGCAGGCAGATACCTGAGAGCCTGACCGGCTCCTGCCGGGGAAGTGGCTGTGTGTCTTGGTGAGAGCCATGGCAGGTTCCCCGTGTGCTCCTGGTGGTGACCCATCAAGTGTGACACCCACCCCATGCCATCTCATGGTGAGAAGGGCTCTTAGCAGCAGGAATATGGCATGATGAGGACAGGGGAGCCTGCCGACCACTGCTGCCCTGCTGGCCCTCTCCCAGGATGCTGGAGAAGAGCGGGTGCCCAGCCTGCTGTGTAGTGCTGATTTTGGTGTGATTTGTACTGGAACAAGGCAATAAAGTGTTGATTTAGGGAGCCTTGTGTGGTTAGCTGTGTGGGTTTGTGGTGCGTCCACCCCTGCTCGTTAGGCCCAGCTAATCCCCAACGTCTCAGAGGGCAAAGGGTGCTGTTGGACCTGGTCCTCTCCAGCCCAGAGAGGGTCCTTGAGGGATGCTGCTGTGGCATCAGTGGCACAC